TATAATTTTATATATAAAAAACACTGTATATATAAAATATGTGACAAATCAGTTGACTGATATTAGGTAAGACACAATATATATACTATCATAAAAAAATACTGAATTTTTGGGCAAAGATGGTAGACTATGGTTATTGAGTAAAGACACTAGATAAAACCATTGTCATTATTAAAAGATAATATCAAAAAATCAATTATTATGTGTCTCTTTCCTATACATAATAGTCGTAATCATCTCTTTTATACTACGTTCATAAGGTGAGCTTTTCTACTTTTTTTATTTTTTTTATCTCTAATTTTTGTTTATCCAGTTATATTCTAACCTCTCAATAAACAATAATAATTATAATATAACTACCATTATTAAAAAATACTAAGTTTTGAGATGAAGGTACTAAATAAAATATTATTGTTAGAATATAATAAAATAAATAATTAGCATAATTGTTGGGCATAATACAGTAAATATACTATTATTATTTTTTAAAAATACTAGGTTTTGGAGTGAAAATATTAGATCATGGCTGTTGAGCGAAAATACTAGATAATAAAATGCTATTAGACTACTGTATATACTGAATAACTATTATTAAAATTAGGCAAAAGCAAAATATACCTACTATCATTATACAAGGATACCAGATTCTGAGGCAAAAACACTAGACTACAGTTATTGGGTGAAGATAGTAGACCATAGTTATTAGGCGAAGATACTAGACTACGGTTATTGGATGAAGACACTAGATAATAAAATGCTATTAAACTATATACTAAATAATCAATATTGATATTAGGTAAAAGCAAAATATATCTACTATTATTATTTAAAAGCACTAAATTTTGGGGTGAAAACACAAGACTACGATTATTAAGCGAGACACTAGATCATGATTATTGGGCGAAGATACTAAATAATAAAATTGATATTAACTAAATACTGAATAATCAATATATAACATTAGTAAAACACAGTATATTTACTATTATACAAAGCATTAGATTTTTAGGCAAGGATAGTAGAACATAATTATTGAGTAAAGGTACTAGATAAATATTATTAATAAAAGATGATATCGGGTAACTAATTATTATATGCCCCTTTCCCGCGTATAATTAATGATTTGAACTGAGAAAATTTTCTTTAATTGGTTAATTGAACCGAATTATTTTCATTCAACCGGTTGCCAACCAGTTAAGATTAATACTCTATCTTCAGAAATTCTCGAAATTTTATCTATTTTTTCTGAACTTTTTGGAACAGTTACTCTCTCCTTATTACATTATTTTGTCATTTTAAGATCCTACCAGCCGGTTGTACCAGGTCAACTGATTAAGAATTTCCTTAACTGATTACCTAAAATTTATTTGGTTCAGGTTAGTTAATCGATTATAGCTTAATCGATTTAAGTTACTACGTATAATAATCATAGTCGTCTCTTTTATACTACATCCATGAGGTGAGCTTTTCTACTTTTTTATTTTTAATTTTTTTTATTCAGATATATCACAATCTTACAGTAAGTAATAGTATAATTATTAGACAAAATTATAGTATAACTACCATTATCATCATATAAAGCTACTGGTAAACCAGTATAATTATTGGGCAAGGACACAGAGCTTTCAGGCGAGGACACAAAACTTTCGGACGAAGATACATAATGACCAATATGATTATCAGGTGATGGAACTAAACTAACATAATCGGGCAATGGTTCTAAATTACCAATATTACTAGATAAAGACTAGAAATAAATAAATTAATAATAAAAAAAAAAGTATATACAGTAGTTAGTAATAAATAAAATGTTTTAATTAATTTTAATACTAGCCATATCATCATCCAAGTCTATATCATAATCACTAGAAATTTCAATTGTATTAGGAATTTCTTCTTCGTCGAAGATATTATTTGCATAAAGTTCATCAACCAAAGAGCAATCACCACAGGGCTTGTCTTTATAAACCAGTTTATAGAAAGTTTTTTTATGTGATCTATACTACGAATTGTTTATGGCTACTATGATTAATCTTAAGCCAAATGACTAGTCATTTCTGCCAGTCATTTCACACCACTTTCCTAACTTTTGCTTCAAGATACCGTTGGCACGTTCTACTAAACCTTGCAATTGGGGATGCCTGGAGTGTCTGTTAATAATTTTCACTGATAGCCATAACTCTATTAGTTTCTTAATTACTTGTACTACAAACTTCTTTCTATTGTCAGACTGGAGTATAGTCAGAAATGATCCAATTATATAGAAAAGATCAAAAAGATACATTGCGACTTCAATCGCTCTCTTGGATATTAGAGGTCTTGTCTATAAAAACTAACTGAAATGGTCTCTTACATATATATATACTTAAAATCTCTATCTGGGATATAGAATAGATCAATCAAATCTATCTGCAAAATATAAAATAAAATAAAATAAATATAATTAAAAAAAATTTTTTTTTAATTTTTATTTTCAAAAATATAAAACTTACCTGTATGCGAGACAAAAAGTCTTTTGTAATGATTAGTTTTGCTGCCAAGAGATGGAACACTAGTTTTCAGGCCATACACGCAGTGCAATTATTCACAAATTGTTTTATAACTTCTTGTTTTACAAACCTCCACTTTTCACGAATTGACTTCCAGGTTTGTTTTTGACTACTATGTTGTATTATTTCACTGTGAGTATGACAGAAAACTTCATAAAACTTTTTAGTTATTAATACAGGATTATTTGTAGCTTTTACGATTACTCTGTAATTCCTAAACATAATTTCTTCAAGTTTAAATTTTTTTTGGCTCAACTTCATATATTTTTATTATAAAGCAAGGTGTTTTTGGGGTTTAATAAAATGTTTTTTATTTTATTTAAAAGCTCCAGATTGATTAAGATCTTTTTTTGCTTTGCTTTTAGAAGATTAGTTATATACTTTTCCAAGATTCGGTCAAGGGTGCTTCTACTAATAAATGTATACTCTATTTGGTAGATATTATAGGGAAAAAAAAAGGTAGCAGCCAATGAAAACAGTTAAGATCAAAGAAAAAATAAATGATAAGCAGGCCAACGTCCAATATATTAGTGGGCACCAAGAGCAAATCCAATATTCAATATATTAGTAGACATCAAGAATGAATCTAATGTCAATCTATTATTAGCACCAAGAACAAACCCAACGTCTAATATATTAGTAGGCACCAAGAATAAATCTAATATCTAATATATTAGTAGGCAACAAGAATCCAACATCTAATGTATTAGTTGGTATCAAAAATGAATCCAATGTTCAATATATTAATAGGTACCAAGAATGAATCCAACATCTAATGTATTAGTGGGCAACAAGAATCCAATATCCAATATATTAGTGGGCACCAAGAATGAGTCTAACATCCAATATATTAATGGGCACCAAGAATGAATCCAACGTCTAATGTATTAGTAGGTACCAAGAATGAATCTAACGTCTAATGTATTATTAGTGGGCACAAAGAACAAACCTAATATCCAATATATTAGTGGGCACCAAGAATAAATCCAATGTTCAATATATTAATGGGTACCAAGAATGAATCCAATGTCTAATGTATTAGTAGGTACCAAGAATAAATCCAATGTCCAATATATTATTAGTGGGCACAAAGAACAAACCTAACATCCAATATATTAGTGAGCACCAAGAATAAATCCAACATCCAATATATTAGTGAGCATCAAGAACAAACCCAACATCCAATATATTAGTGGGTATCAAGAATGAATCCAATATCCAATATATTAATGGATACCAAGAATAAATCTAATGTCCAATATATTAATAGACACCAAAAATTAATCTAACGTCTAATATATTAATGAGCACCAAGAATTAATCCAACATCCAATGTATTATTAGTAGGCACAAAAAACAAATCTAACATCTAATATAATAGTGGACACCAAGTATAAATCCAATGTCCAATGTATTAGTGGGTACCAAGAATGAATCCAATATTCAATATATTAATGGGCACCAAGAATTAATTTAACATCTAATATATTATTAGTGGGCACAAAGAACAAACCTAACATCCAATATATTAGTGGGCACCAAGAATGAATTCAATGTCCAATATATTAGTGAGTACCAAGAATGAATCCAACGTTCAATATATTAATAGGTACTAAGAATGAATCCAACGTCTAATGTATTAGTGGGTACCAAGAATGAATCCAATATCCAATGTATTATTAGTGAGTACAAAAAACAAACCTAATGTTCAATATATTAGTAGACACCAAGAATGAATCTAACGTCCAATATATTAGTGGGTACCAAAAACAAACCCAATGTCCAATATATTAGTGGATACCAAGAATGAATCCAATGTCCAATATATTATTAACACCAAGAACAAACTCAACATCCAATATATTAGTAGATACCAAGAATAAATTCAATATCCAATATATTAGTGAACAACAAGAATCCAACGTCCAATGTATTAGTGGGTACCAAGAATGAATCCAATATCCAATATATTGGTGGGTACCAAGAATGAATCTAACGTCTAATATATTATTAGTAGGTACAAAGAACAAACCTAATGTTCAATATATTAGTAGGCACCAAGAATGAATCCAACATCCAATATATTATTAGTACTAAGAACAAACCCAACGTCCAATATATTAGTGGGCATCAAGAATGAATCCAACATCCAATATATTAGTGGGCAACAAGAATCCAACGTCCAATGTATTAGTAGACACCAAGAATAAATGCAATGTCCAATATATTAGTGGGTACCAAGAATGAATCCAATGTCTAATGTATTAGTGGGTATCAAGAATTAAGGCAATGTGAAACCAAGAACCAACAAGAAATAAAAAAAAAGTATGCTAGTCATTAAAGATAAAACAAACCAGGTATCATACAAAAAAAAAAATCAAGATAAGAGCAAAAAGACTTTTTATGCTTTTATTCGTAATGACGTTATTACTACATCTTTCGTAATGATGTTATTATATTTTTTGAAAATTTTTTTTTTACAAGATTTTGAATTTCAAGATCTTGCATCAGATTATAGCTGACGCATGTTAGGTGACCAATCAACAGATGACGTGTATCACCTAAAAATCAGCATCTGACACAAGAATGCATCTGAGGCACAACATATATACAGCATATATTGTTATTTATATACAGTTATTTATTAGCACTCTTGGTGTGACTACTATCCATACTACTAAAAACACTAGACTGAATCTCATCCACTAGTCTATTAAACTTATCATATCACGATCCTCTCATGATCTATCTATTTTTAATTTTTATTTTAAATATTTAGTTTCCATTTCAGTTTATTTTATTCTTTATATATATTTTTATTATTTGTTTATTGTCATAGGCTTATTTAACTTTATGCTGGTTATAACTTGTTAGGAAGTTGTTCTGCTGAGATTTCATATGGATTTGTGATTGAGCCTTAAGCCCAAATTAGAAATTGTAGTGAATTATATGCCAATTGAAGTGAAATATGCAAGATTAAAAGTAATCTTTGTTAGTATCAGAATAAATTGTATGCAAATATGATGTATTAAAAAAAGAATTAGTTAACATGTAGTAAAGGATTTGTAAAATGCTATAATGCTACAAATTAGAAAGAATTATATCTATGTTAGAACAAGATCACTTTATCATTATCATATATAAATAAACTTTCCATTGACTTCAATAAGATTTCATATTTTATATAAATCTAATTAACATATAGGAAGTAGATAGTATTGGCTAAAGAGACCTATTCTAAGTAATTAGTTATAAAGTCTTATCTGTTTATTGTTATTTATTGCTAATTGTTACTTTGTTTTTGTTTATATATAAATAGTATTTTAATTGTTATGTAATAGTATTTCATGAATCATATTCATTGAATATTATCTGTAACTATAGGAGCTAAATTCTTGTACTTGTATTTTTCTTCTGGTTCTATAGTTATATATGTCAATTAAAAAAAAGTCTACTCAATTATATTCTCACTAAGTTGAAATCCTTAATATGATCAAAATTTTCACAAGTATATTTTGTTATTTTTTAAGGATTATGTTTTACATAATGACGTGGCAATTTACATTTATTTGTTATATTTATATAGTTGGCTAAGTTTGTAAAATTTAGTATATGTAGTTGAATTTTATATATAATTATGTAATCAGTATATAAACTATAATAAACAAACTTTAGTTATAGAATAAAGCTCTATTTGTTCTCTAAATAACAAAGATTATTTTTGGTTTTGTTTTTAAAGATGCTTTTAAGATTATGTATGATTTCACATAAGTTGAGAAATTTATCTAAGTAAATTACAAATTTAAAATTAGTTTAACAATATTATTATCATAATTATATTTATAGTATCATATATTAAATAATATGTTTACCAAGATTCAATTAAGATATCAGTTCAAGAACATATCTTGTTTAATCAATAAAAGTAATTTGTAAATTCTGAATTTTGAATTCTGAATTCTGAATTTTTAATTCGACAAATTAATAATTTTATTTAATGTTGTTAAAATATAAATTATTAATATTAAAAAAGAAGTATATTTATGATATAATTCTGACGAGAATTTTTTTGAGTTATTTAAATGATATTTTAGATTTTTGACACTTAACTTTTTTCTTTTTTATATGAAATTTTAATTATCCTTTATCAATGCTTCTGTTTAAATTAATTTCATTAATGCAAAATTTTAAATTAATGAT